AACAGTAACTATCGGAATGTCCCCCTCGGACCGCAGAACCTGTTTCACTGGCCTCGCTCTAATATGCCTGCTGAGCAGCGCGACGGCCTACAATTACCTCCTGGTGCTGCCCACCATCGCACGCTCGCACTACAATGTGGGCTCGGCGCTGGCCAAGGGCCTGGCGGCCGCTGGTCACCAAGTGACACTCGTCTCGCCCTTTCCCCTAAAGACGCCCATCACGAATATAAACGATTTGCCAGTGCCGAACATATTAAAAGCGATGAGCGGTAAGTAACTCTCCAGCGTATCGATCAGCACTCGTAATCTTCTAAACAAATTGAAATAATACACTTTAACGTGCTGTTAATTAAATACCAAGTGTTATATGCAGTTGCGTAGGCAGCAATGGGATCTGGTAAACAATGTAATACTCCTGTATATTTCATATAGACAAATATAGAGTATTAACAACATTCAATTATAAAACAAAATTTGCGAAGAAAGTCTGATGTACTTAAAAGAATCATTAGCATACAGAAAATATTCCCTGCGATGCACTATGAGAGACCCATGATCGCTTTTATAAATAGAATATATAAATATAACATTAACAACTTGATATACATATATACAAAATCACCAATTATAAGCGACCAGAACTTATTTAACTTATCTCACTTTCCAGGCGATTTAGACAGCCTCCTTACAAAGTCGGAAAAGCCGATAATACAACAGATTATTGGATTCTATGCCATGGGTAAGATAACAGCTTTCAAATATATTAAATATAGTTATATTTATATATGTATGTATGTATATACAGGTCTACGCATAACAGAAGCATTGCTAAAGGAACCGAAAATCCAGCAGCTGCGCAAATCCAATCAGACCTTCGACGCTGTCATCAGCGAGGTGTTCCTCAATGAGGCTCATTTTGGCTTGGCCGAGCATTTCAAGGCGCCGCTCATTGGACTTGGCACCTTCGGTGCCATTAGCTGGAACACCGATCTGGTAGGTAGTCAAGCATTTGGGTGCCTGAGTAAATCCAGCTCACGGTTAATCTGCTCTAACAGGTTGGCTCTCCTTCGCCGCCCTCCTATGTGCCGCACGCGCTGCTCAAGTTCTCCGATCATATGTCGCTGGTCGAGCGCGTCATCAACTTTGCCTTCATCAACTACGAATATCTCTTCATGACGCTGTACTATTTGCCGCAGCAGGAGGCGCTCTATGCCAAGTACTTCCCCGATAACAAGCAGAACTTCTACGARATGCGCAAGAACACGGCGCTGGTGCTGCTCAACCAGCACGTCTCACTAAGCTTTCCCCGCCCCTACTCGCCCAACATGATCGAAGTGGGCGGCATGCACATCAATCGCAAGCGCCAGCCCCTGCCCCAGGACATTGAGGACTTCATCAAGGGCGCCAAGCATGGCGTCATCTACTTYTCGATGGGCTCGAATCTGAAGAGCAAAGACCTGCCACCGGAAAAACGTCAGGCCATAATAGAAACCTTTGGCAAGCTGAAGCAGCGCGTGCTGTGGAAATTCGAAGAGCCCAATTTGGTTGGGAAACCCGCGAATGTCTTTATCTCCGACTGGTTCCCGCAGGACGACATATTGGCGCACGAGAATGTTATCCTGTTTATCACCCATGGCGGTCTGCTCAGCACCACGGAATCCATTTATCACGGCAAGCCTTTTGTGGGCATTCCCATCTTCGGCGATCAGTTTGTCAATATGGCGCGTGCCGAGCAGTTGGGCTACGGCGTTACAGTCGCCTTCGACAAGCTGACTGCTGAGACGTTCCATAATGCCATTAAACAAATACTCACCGACCCACGCTACGCCCAGCAGATGCGCGAGATGTCCGCCCGATTCAGGGATCAGCATGAAACGCCACTCGAACGGGCTGTCTACTGGGTGGAGCATGTGACAAGGCAGAAGGGCGCCAAGTACCTAAGAAGCGCTTCACAGGACTTGAACTTTATACAATACCATAATTTGGATGTCTTCGCCATGATAGTGGGTGGATTGATCTCTATTACGTTTGCTGTTACATATATATTGGCAATAGTCGTCAGGTTCATACGTAGAACACTTCAAGGCAAGTCCAGGAAAGTGAAAGAAAATTAGCTTTAACAACGAATTGAAGAACTAATCTTTCGATATGATGGATGTGATGATTTGTATATGAAAAAGAACCAAACTAATGTCCATTTTATGATCAAAAAATAGATTTAAAATAAAAAATAGAAAACAATATATGTACATATGTATGTACTATTTTAAACTNTCGATGGGCTCGAATCTGAAGAGCAAAGACCTGCCACCGGAAAAACGTCAGGCCATAATAGAAACCTTTGGCAAGCTGAAGCAGCGCGTGCTGTGGAAATTCGAAGAGCCCAATTTGGTTGGGAAACCCGCGAATGTCTTTATCTCCGACTGGTTCCCGCAGGACGACATATTGGCGCACGAGAATGTCATCCTGTTTATCACCCATGGCGGTCTGCTCAGCACCACGGAATCCATTTATCACGGCAAGCCTTTTGTGGGCATTCCCATCTTCGGCGATCAGTTCCTAAATATGGCGCGGGCGGAACAAAATGGCTATGGCAGGACTGTGCACTATGAGGAGTTGACTGCCGAGCGGCTGTTGGCAGCCATCCAACAGCTTCTGCAAGATCCTCATGCCAAGCAACTGGTCAACGAGATGTCCGCACGCTACAAGGATCAGCCGCAGCTGCCACTGGAGCGCGCCGTCTTCTGGGTGGAGCATGTCAGCAGGCATAAGGGCGCAAGATATCTGCGCAGTGCCTCGCAGGATCTGGACTTCGTGCAGTACCACAATCTGGATGCAATGTTCATACTCTATGGCGGCATTCTGTTTGTCCTCTACTGCCTGATGCTGTTCATACGTCTGGTGTGGCGTGCTCTGCAGCAGTTCTTCATGGGTCGCCAGGCGGCGCAGCCTAAGCAGAAGCGTCACTAAACTGAGCTCATACTTGAGTTTCAGACTCATATTCATGTGCATTGTTAAATTAAAGTTGTATGCGTGCTAGTTGGGGTTAGGAGTTGACGGTGCTACTTTGAGTGCAGCTCATGCAAATTTCAGTCCGTGCTGCGGTTTAGTTTGGCAGTCGGCATCGAAAATGTAAAATAAAATAGAAAACATTTTTATAGAGCTATCGAAGTTTTTATTTTCTGCAGACTCTAATACTCTATACTCTAGGTCCAGTGAATATGAGAGTTTTGGGTGTAAGCGTGACCTTTTTTCTGCAACAAGCGGAGGGGGCGTGGCACACTCAAAGCTCAATTTATTAGAGCTGAGTCCATCTTGTTCGATGTTCAACTGTTCGCCAGTTTGAACTCTGCAATCTTGTACAAACATATTTGTATGTACATAATTATATTTTCATACTGTCCTCCAAGTTAATCACGACTTGATAGCTATTACATAAAGAAAGGGTGTCTGCTAGTCGGCCACTCCCAGCTGGAGCTCTTTTACTCGTTCGCTTTTTGGGCTGTGCGCTTGTGCCTCAATTTTCTTTGTTTCTTTCTTTGGCTAGTTGCACATAGTTAACGCTTCAGTTGTAAAAATGCCCATCAGCGCGTTCAAATTTTTAACAGTGAGCCGAGCAGATGTAGTGCCACGGCCACGCCCACGCCCCCTCCGTTAAAAGTGTCCCGTTCCATGCACAGCGCTCAACGCCCAGTTGTTTGCCGGTCGGGCATGGGCGCCGCTGAGTGCTGGAAGGGGCCGAAGGAGCGAAAGAGCGAAGGGGCGCTGTGGTGCTTACGCTTGGGTCTGCGCTTGTGGGCGCGGTGCGCAAAAGGCGTGTAAAAGTTTTAGCGCAACTTATTGAAACTGTTTTGGGCCATGGCCGTGCTGGAAAATCAACGTCCGCGCCGGAAATGTTGGCGGCTGTAATGGCGACGGCCGCATTAAAACTACAAGGCAAGAAATAAAAAATAAAAAAAAATAATAATATATATGTATATATAGCCGGGAAAATAAAAACAGAAAGAAAATGAAACAGAAAAAAAAAAAAAAGACAAAAACGGCTGGGAAAACTATGGAAAAGTGCCAGCCAAAGAGAGGCAACTGTTGTTGTTGTTCTCTTATTTTCCTTTCATTTTTTCTTTTTATGGAAGCCGTTCTTACTGGGCTTCCTGTTGATGCGCTTAAGCGTTGAGCTCTCCAAATTATAATATTTCAAATATTCATTAACTGCTCAGGCGAGTGTCTAAATAGGCTACTCTGGACTGTATATAAAGGCCGCTTTAGCCTTAGCTCTAGATATAGTCTGATTCAGCTAGTTAGTAGTCTATCCTACATACTTCATATACTTCTTGATACTGTTGACATTATATTCGTAATTTTTTTAATTTATATATATTCATAG